TCCTTTCACTTGAGTTTAATATAACTCTATCTCATCCTTTGTCTTTAATCTTTTAGTGATGCAAATATGGGTAATTCTGATTTTTTTTTTTTTGACCTAAGCTGTTTTTTTTTTCTTTCACAATGGAACAAAACAACACTTTCCCCTCCACCCCCATATCAAATCTAGTGCTTTCATCTTCTGGCTTTTTTTAGTTCTGATTTTCATGTTTACTTATAGTTTTCTTAATTTTCTCCATTTTTGTTTGTTGACTGTTGTTTCTCAACTTTTTAAGTATAGATTGGAGAGCTGACTTTGTTTAAAAGAACTATACTTTTTAGAGCTGCTTGGAGAGCTAAGCTGGAAAGACGTAGGGGTGCTTATCCCTGCGTGGAAACGCTTGCCAATGCTTTCTCATTTGGACCCAGACTCCGGATCGGGAGCAGTCTTATAGCTAAATCAGCTACCAAGAGAAGCTCTAAAGCAAGAAGAGAAAAGCACTTCAATTTGGGACATTTATTTGCACCTGGAAATGGGGAATGGGCTATCAGACCAGACTTCTATCCTGTCCAACCTGCCTTCATTTCAGTCCCTCCACATTGTTATTCTGGGTTTGGACTGTGCTGGAAAGACAACTGTCTTATACAGGCTGCAGTTCAATTAATTTGTAAATACCGTACCTACCAAAGGATTTAACGCTGAGAAAATTAAGGTAACCTTGGGAAATTCTAAAACAGTCACGTTTCACTTCTGGGATGCAGGTGGTCAGGAGAAGTTAAGGCCACTGTGGAAGTCATATACCAGATGCACAGATGGCATTGTATTTGTTGTGGACTCTGTTGATGTCGAAAGGATGGAGGAAGCCAAAACTGAACTTCACAAAATAACTAGGATATCAGAAAATCAAGGAGTCCCTGTACTTATAGTTGCTAACAAACAAGACTTGAGGAACTCATTGTCTCTTTCAGAAATTGAGAAATTGTTAGCAGTGGGTGAACTGAGCTCATCAACTCCTTGGCATTTGCAGCCTACCTGTGCAATCATAGGAGATGGCCTAAAGGAAGGACTTGAGAAACTACATGATATGATCATTAAAAGAAGAAAAATGTTGCGGCAACAGAAAAAGAAAAGATGAATATCAATATCTATTATATCTGTGTGGAGTAGGTTTTCTCTGGTCTGATTTTGACAAATAGAAGAGTGTCTACAACCTGGTTTGCCTGTCTGCCCTCCTGGATGCTATTAAAGCTTTGTTTTGTTGGAAAAAAAAAAAAGAACTATACTTTTTAATGTTCTCAGTATCAGAAATAAAACAGTAATTATATATTCCCTCTTGTCTGACATGAGAAAATGAGCAGATTTTTATTTACATTCATCCATCTTCCAACTTTTTTTGTTGACAAAATAGTGAATTATAGATCCAGATAGATTAGAAATGTTAATTTTTTACATTATGCATCTTTGCCTTAAATAGTTATGTTTTACATTAACCTTCCATTTTTGTAACACATTTAGAGCCATTACTGAGCATTAATGCTATATTTAATTAGTTTTATGCTCACTGTGGGTCTTCTTATTCCACATTTCTCAATTCTTGATTTCTTTATTTTGACTCACTGCTCAGTCAATTGCTCTGTGATTTATTAGGAGCAGGGAACGTGGGAGCCACTGGATACTAAGAATGTCTTTCTGATGTATTTGCACAAGAACAACAACTTGGCTGATAAGGAATTTGTGGATTATAACACTTTCTCCTCAAAAACCCTCCAGGCTTAACATCATTGTCTGCTGCCCTTTATGATATGGAAAAATCTGAGAGGAACCAGGCAGAGATTTGTTAGACTGAGAATGGCTGTTCTGCTTCAATGACCCTTTCACCCAACTCTTTTCAGTAAAATTTAATACTAAAGACGGTCATTTGAAACAGTGTGTAGTTCTTCCTTTGCCAGAAAAATACAGCCTTCTGAGTGCCCAGCTCCTGCTACTCTTCCCCACTCTGTTCCTGTGAGGTCAGCTGCACCCGCAAGACACATGGCATAAGAACTCATCCAATTCCATTCCTGCCTGCATTTCGTTACTGGGAATCTTAGTTCCAAAGCAAGCGTACATATGCCTGGTGTGGAATAGAAGGCACAGGTAATTAAATGGCCTTGTTCATCTCCGAAGCAGTGTCAAAACTGCTTCTTAGATGAGGCAGTTTCAGAGTGAGATACTTTTTTTTTTCTCTATGGCAAATCCCTGTGTCTTGAAGAGGGAGGTCTCTTGAAGAGGGAGGTCTCTGATAGGATGTTTGGGGAGCAAACTGTCGGAGGCATTTGAACCTGAGCAACTCCATCTTAAATAGGACCTAGGTAAAATGACGCTGAGACCTACTAGACTGCATTCCCAGATGGTTAAGGCATTCTAACTCACAGGATGAGCTAGGAAGTCAGTACAAGATACAGGCCATAAAGACCTTGCTGATAAAAACAGCTTGCAGTAAATAAGCTTGCCAAAACTATAGACAAAAACAGCTGATAAAAACAGTTTGCAGTAAAGAACCCACCAAAACTAAGATGGCCATGAGAGTGACGTCTGGTAGACCTCACTGCTACACTCCCACCACCATCAGGACAGTTAACAAATGCCATGGCAATGTCAGGAAGTTACCCTATATGGTCTAAAAAGGGGAGGTATGAATAATCCACCCCTTGTTTAGCATACCAAGGAATAGCCATAAAAATGGACAACGAGCAGCCCTCAGGGATGCTCTATGAAGTAGCCATTCTTTTGCTCCTTTACTTTCACTTTACTGTATGGACTTGCCCTGAATTCTTTCTCACACGAGATCCAAGAACCTTCTCTTGGAGTCTGGATCAGGACCCCTTTCCTGTAACAAAACCTCTGTGGTTGGCGCAGGGCCAACCACTCTTATGGTGGGGACATTCCTTCTGATATGCATTTGCTAGTTTCCTGGGTTCTATAGGCATGCTCTATTTTTAGGTTTTTTGAGTATCTTAGTGGGAAGAATAAAGTAAAACTACTTCTTTCCCTTCTCATCATGGAAACTCAACCGCACCTTTTGATGTGTGACAAGAGCAGGGAAGGCCACACCTTCTTAGAGGGTTGTGCTGAACTGATATACCGGCCAGCATTGGATGCCGAGAACCGAGAACAAGAGGAGCCCCAGATGCTTCTGCCAATTTTTATGTCTTCCCGCTCAATACATCAGAGTGCTTCATGCAGTGGGAAGACCAGATGGACAGGTGGAAGGCAGTCTGGCAGCTTCTCTTTGTAGTCTTATGCTCTCTGTGAGGAGTGTTGCTTGAACCAGTAATAAATGCAGAACTGAAATACCACAGTGGAATTTAAATGGGTGTGTGGACATTCTAAATGTTAATTAGTTCCTCAATCCAGGTTTCTCACCAAGCACTGACTGCCATTGACAGATTAAACTCTCCATCTTGGCCACCCAGAGCCTGCACAGGCTGTTCCCACACACTTCACCAAATCTTGCTTCTGTCTCAGGCTTCCCTTCTCCAGCAAGCTTCTCAGTTCTCCATGTTATACAATGCATAACGAGGCACATGACAGACTCCCTTACATTTCTATAAGCTCTTAGAGGGTACATACCGCATAACCTTAATATGAACTATAGGGTTTAGCATTTGTCAGTGTTTGTTAGATGTTTGTTAAAAGAAATATGACCACATTGAGGCCAGGTGTGGTGGCTCACGCCTGTAATCCCAACACTTTGGGAGGCTGAGGTGGGCGGAACATGAGGTCAGGGGATCAAGACCATCCTGGCTAACACGGTAAAACCCTGTCTTACCAAAAATATAAAAAAATTAGCCAGGTGTGGTGGTGGGCACCTATAGTACCAGCTACTCAGGAGGCTGAGGCAGGAGAATGGTGTGAACCCAGGAGGTGGAGCTTGCAGTGAGCCAAGATCGCGCCACTGCACTGCAGCCTGCCAGCCTAGGCGACAGAGTGAGACTCTGTCTCAAAAAAAAAAGAAAAGAAAAGAAAAGAAAAGAAATATGACCACCTGGATGGAAAATACAAGCTTGTGTAATAAAAGAGGCTAAAGATATTTAGCTTGCAGAAAAGACAATCATATGGGCATGTTTGTATAGAGAAGAAAAGGGTATTAGAAAAGATCTTATGTAACTGAAAGACTATAAACCAAGAACGTGGTTGCACTGGTTTTGTAGGATGCTAAGAGCGTGAATCAAGAACAATGGGTAGAAACTTCAATAGGAAATATTTCAGTAAGTACACTAAAAAGCCTCCCTAGAGACACAGCCCACTCCCTACTCCAGAAAACACTAAAGCTACCTCAGAGATAAATGAGTTCTCTGTCATTTGAAGTATTCAAGAATAAGCACTAATGCCAGTTAACTAGTGTTGCAGTATGGATAGAACCATTGTTTTGTGTGTGTTTGGGATTGTTGAATGACCTTTGATATCCTTTCCAGCCCTGTGATTTTCTGATATTATGACTGGCGCCAATCCTTGACCAAAGAAATATTTGACACAAAAATGATTACCTTGTCTTTGGAGAAACACTATTTTCTAATGTGACCAATGGCAATGACAAAGGGGGTATTAATCACTGATCAATTAAACCATGCTTAGTGCATTCCTAGATAACAAATTGACAGATATTATTATTATATACGAAGAAATTAAGGCTCAGAGAGGTCATGTTATTTCCTCAAGTAAAGCACTATGTCTATACTCTAATACAGGAGTGTGCAAAGGTTTTTTGTAAAAAGCCATATAATAAATATCCTAGGCTTTGTGGGGCATATAACCTGTGTTACAACCAGCTTTACTATTAAGCATCAAAATAGCCATAGACAGTGTGTAAATGAACAGGCATAGCTATATATATATTTTTTTTAAATTAAAGGCATGAGGTTGGATTTGGCCTAGGGGCCTTAGTTTTTCAGTCTCCATTTAGAGCCCTGCTGACTTATCATACGAGAATGAGAAAATGCAAACAAGATAAGGAATGGCCTCCATGTGGCCATACTTACTCCATTGGCTTTGCTGAGTGCCTGGAAGTAGATGCTGTAGCTTTTCAGGGGAGAGAGAGGAGGGTTCCAGTAGCCATTGTATGTCTTATTGTCACCCACTGTAAATGGCTGGGTGACAGGCAGGTTGGCAGGCTTCAACTCAGCAGCAAAGTAGTGTAGAGAATCGAGGCTGGAGGCATTCCGATAGCTCACAGGCACCGAAAAGCACTCAATAATGTCAGCTGCCCTCCGTGACTTCTGTGGTCGCTCCTCCTTGACAACCAGCTGATAAACACTGGACCGGAAAGAGGGGACACAGATGGATGAGCAACTCTCTGGAAGAATGAGCTTGTTAGCTCTAATGGTATCAACCCAACTTCTCCTGTGTGGAAACATTGCTTCTGTCTACAACAAAACTTTTGTCCTGAGCATCAGATTTTCAAACCTACCACGTTGTAGAACTTTACCTCCACTTAGCTGTCTCAAAGCCAGCTCACACTAGACACATCTAAAACTCAACTCAGCCCCAACCCCTACAAACCTGTCTGCTCCTCCTTTTACATGTCTTTTCTTAGTAAATGGTAGCACCATCTGACAAGTGGCCAGAACCTGAGTCTAGGGCTCATCCTCAGTTCTTAACTCGTTAATTCTCACTCCTTATCTTAATCAACAGTCTTACAGAAGTCTGTTGATTTGGCTTCTGTATGTTTGCATCTGCCCCACTTCTGTTTTCTCCTTCCACTGATAATGCCTTAGTTGGGCACTTTCCCACTTCTTACTCAAATTCAACTAGTCTCTTTGCCTCTAATGCACTTGATTTATTAATCAGTCATCCTAATCATATGGCTTCCCAATCATATAGCTCTTCAAACACTTTCATAGGCCTTCCATTGTACAAATTATACAATCTAAACTCCTCATCTTGGCATTTGAAGCCCTCTGTGCCTGTCTTCTGTCTTCCATTTAGGTGTTCTCATGGTGTTCCCATCTTCTAGCTACTCCAGATCCCATGCTATTGCACAGATATATTTTGGATCTCACCTCATGCATTACTGACTTATGCTTCCTCTACCTGCCATGCCCTGCATCCTGGCCACCTCTGGTTTCCTCCAAAGGCTGAGCATGTCTTTCACTTCCTCTATGAAGCCTGTCCAGATATGTCCAGTCTGGATCAATCACCTCCCTCTTTAGTTCCCTTAGAGCTCACCTAATCTCCATCTGCTTTGTTTTCCAATATCATGAGATGGGACTACTCTTGCACTGGCTAGACTGTGACCTTTTACGAAGTAGGCATTGTGGCTTACTTATCACTGCATCATTCTCCACCCCTGCCCCACACTGCCCAGCAGGATGCCTGCCACCCAACAAGTGATCAATGAATGCTTGTTCAAATGAATTAAATTGGATTGAATTAAAACTGAAAGCAAACATGAAACCAAATCTGCCTGGATGCAGAAACCTTAATCAGATAAACAGCGATTGCCTTGAGTTCCTGTCTAGTGATCGCATATTGTTCCCTTCAACTTAGGAGGATGTAAGAAGATGCTAGTGTGTGAATAGAGATGACCGATCCTTTATTGAATATCAACTGACACCCAGTGTTAGACTCTCTTTGTAAAAGTTATTTTAAGGTTAGTAAGTTGGACAACATTGTTCAATCTCTTTGAATGTCCCACAGTTTACATCTCTCTGGAATAAATGCTCTTCTTTTAGAAGAGCTTTATTGCACGGATCTCTGGGACTCATGATCTAAAACAAAAGATCGATTGCCCATGAGTACCCACTGGAGACTTCTGTGAATTAATGAGGTGGTTGCAGTAGGGGGCCCCAAACCAATCATTTAAACAGGGCATAGTGAACCAGCACGTGGTTTACGAAAAATGAAACGTGTTGCAGGCTACCATCCTTCAATCAGACCATCCATCTAAAGACACTTGACTAAGGAGTACAACTTGGGAGATGACAGAGACACAGGACTATTTCATTAAGGAAAAAAGGCTATGGAGGACTGCCCTAAGAAAATGTGACACACTCAATATGGCAAGTTTTCTCTCCAATTTTCTTGAGTATGGGAATTTTCAGGCATGTGAAAAGGAATGGTTGGGCATATGAGTATATGCCACACTTAGATGAGTGCAGGCAAAATAGCTCAATTACCATGCCTGTTGTACATACACATCTGAGTAAGAACCTGACAATTCAGAGTGCATGTGAGTGACATGTGAGTGGAGTGGATGTGGACAATCTCTCAAGGCATGCACACTACATCTGAGGGTGTACCATTTCCAAGTGAGGATCTGTATTACCTGGGCGTCTAACTCCAAATGAGTGAATATAACATTTAGATGAATGGATGAATGTGGTTAACCTGAGTGTTTAGACTTCTAAATAAGTGTGTGTAACATCTGAGAATGTTTTAACCACCCAAAGTGTGTGTGGGTATGTACCATCTATGCCATAATGCCTGTTGAAGTCAATAAATGTTAAAATTAAATTATGATTTCAGCAATCACTTCCTCCTCAACTCTGGGGTCCTTCTCAATTGTACAATTCCTATGTTTATCAGGACAGCTAAGTTCAAAGCAGTCACTGAAAAATAGCACAAGGACCTAATACCCAAACCTAGAGGTTGCAGGGCAGAAGTGGAGGGGTGTTTGTAACAGAGTTTTCAGGACCTGCAATGCTTTATAAATGACAATATATTGAGGTAAATCTTAGAATCTGGCTTGAATGCTAATAGTAGCTCGACCAGTTGAGAGTCCATTACTCGTGGGACTCCGATCTGTGAGGGAAAGGGCAAACACAAGAGAGCTTCATGAAGCAGACAACCTCTTGGGCTCTCCTGATGAAGCTAACAACAGCACCTAAGAACACTGCATTGGATTTGGGAGCAGGCAACCAACGCAGCCCGCATAGCCTCTTGAGCAGATTAGAAGGAACCAACAGCCTCATCCCCAGGACCAGGAGTTGGAAAGAGCTGGGAGTCCCTGCTTTCCTCTGAGGGCTAGCCTATCCCTACTCACCATTTGGATTGATCATATCTACATAACAAGGCCTTTATCTTGGTTTCTCAGATAGACTTCCCATTCTACCTTAAATCCTTCTGTCATCTTTCCCCTCTAAATTGAGACCCCCTGAAGCCTTGGGAGCTTCCCTGGGACTGAATCGCCCTCCGAGAATCACTTCCTATTGCCTCTGGCCCTCCTGTGATGGGATGGATCAAGAGGGGCCACATGGCTGGCCTCATTTACTGTCCACAACTAGCAGAAGATTCCATAGTTGTGGCCAAGCAAGAAGACGGGTTCTTACTGGGCTCTGAAAATTCAAATGCTGCCAAGATCTATTAGACAGAGCCATAATATCTCTGTGAGGGTCAGCCTGTATATCCCCATCAGCTCTTTCTCCCCACCAATCTGATTACTGAAGATCCACTTGTCAATTCAACCAAGGTCAACAGCCAGATTACACATGAGGAGCTGAGGCTGAGAGGTCAAGTGATTCATGAGGTCAAACTGCAGCAAAAGTAGAAACCCAGACTTTTCATTCATAGTTGAGTATCCTTTCTTTTTTTTTTCTTTTCCTTCTTCTTTTTTTTTTTTTTTTTTTTTGCTATTTTCTTCTCTTCCTACAAACCAATAAAATGTATAAAGGCCTTCCAAGCATTTTTTTCTAACTTGGCATCCCAAACTGCTTAGTTCTACCCCAACCAACTCCATATGAAATTACAAAGAATAGCAAAGGGTATTTTTTTGGTTTAAACTGTGCAGTCAACATATGGTTCACATACGATTGTGATTATTGTGCCAAAATATACCCAGCAACTCCTTCGGGCCCATGCATTCGCAGCCTGTCCATTCAAAAGCAAACCTGCAATGCAGCCAGAAAAACTGAAATCATTTTGTTAGATAAATCTGTTTGCCAATGGATCCAGCCTCTCTCAAAGACCACAGAACTCTGATTGAAGAGGGGGAAAAGAAACAGTGCTCACAAGTTGTATAACCTTCCTTTCCTGACACTTTTTAGGAAAGGGTGGGGGAAAGAAACAACAAACTGAGTATTATTTTTTATTTCTTGTAGTAGCTTCATTCTCATTCTCTTGAGAATACATTTATCTAAGAGCATGTTCTTTTCAGCTTGCTGGTAATGATAAAATCATATCCAAATGCGAATGACCTCCCTTTTGGGGTCATATCTCTAGCTGAAAAACAGTGGTTGCAATAAACTATTCAGAATCATTTTTAAAGAGAGGGGATTTTTTTAGTAGGAAAATTCCCAATAACATGAGAAAAAAACAACTTAAGACACTCACTGCACAACACATAGCATTTACTCATACACTTTCTCCTCTTGTGACACCCTCTCTCTTTCTCCTAATGAGAAGATGGGCATTTATGACTTTTTTTCCCATTACTTATCCCAAGGATCTCTTATTGCAAGGATCTAAGAGCTATACTGTACCCCCAACTCATTTCATTCACTCTAAGGTGATTTCTGTAAGGTCAAGGAGAGTTTGTACTGTCACTTTCAGTATCTCCTGCTGTCCATCCAAGGCAAAAACCCTCAGAACCTTTCTACAGGCTCTGGAAAACCCTGCTGCTGGACCTTCTTCCTCCCTCTGGTCCCTAAGCTAATGGTTTAAATGGTGGCTTGAGATTCTCGGACCAGATTCCACTGAGGGGGCCCAGGGACCTATCAGAGCATCCTTCCATTAGTAACAGTTCCTGTGGCCCTCTTTCTAGATCTAGAGAAGTCTCTAGCCAGGAGCTGTGTCCTCTCAGAAGGTTGGAGTCAGATGACAGATAGAGTAGATGCTTTAGCTCACAGGTAGAGCTTGCCCAACTTCAGAAAGATGCATATTTTAGCCCACTTTCTCCCAGAATGAAGCATGTCTGAGTTCAGGTTCTTCCAGAAACAGACCCCGAGCCAAGGTTTCACTGCAAATGATGTATTGAGGAAGTAGTCCCAGAAGAAACTAGTAAAGGAGTGAGAGAAAATGGGAGGAAGTGAAGCAAGGGTATGATATCAGGCAAAGTCCCAGTCTTAGCCTGATCCCATAGGGAGCTCTGGAGCATAAATTATACCCCCAGAGTTTGTCTCATCTCAAACCACAGGCTTTTGAACCTCCAGTGCTGGTCAGTGATTGGTTATGGCTGAGTCAGAGAGACATAAACTCCAAGGCACTCCTAACTCTGTGTGAGAAGGGTCAGACAAGGCAGCTCTGGCATCTTAATGGCAACATCCCACAGCAGGTCACACCTGGAAACCATTTACATCAAGGCACATGGAGCTGGGAGA